CTTCAGGAGCAATTTGAGGTTCAGTAATTTGTCAAGGACACTTTGACATGCGGGCTGGGGGAAGGCGGGGATCGAATCACCAATCCTCCGATTAGTGGACGGCCCACTCTTACCAAGCTTAGTCACAGCCACCAACCTAAAGCTGGTGTTATTCCACATCTTTCTTACTGTGAGCAACTTCCATGACAACACCAAAAACAAAAATCTGATAGTCCATCACTCAGGGTGCTTCTCAAGTCTCTTAATTGCATCCACGTTTCCCTCACTTGCGTCTTTTCCTTGCGTCTTCCTTTAATCCCGCCCACCGGGGATGCATAGAGAAACCAGGCCAGGAGAGAAGGAAACGAGGAAATATGTTTTTAGAGACATAGACATTAAATTACAGGACAAAGCCACCCCGCTGATTTGAATGGAGAGCAGTGAAGCCAGTTTTCACCTGCCAAACACCAATGCAGCCTCACTGATGGCCGAATAGTTTTTTTTAGATTGCTGGGAGTTTATAATCTAAGCAATACGGTTACATCTCTCATGTGCGACTAGGTGTCACAGGGTTTTGATGTCATTTTTGGCCCTACATGGGGCAAGTTCAGCGCCGACAAAACGTAGCAAAACGTTGAACTCGCCCATGGATCCCTCCATGCAGGCTTTGGTCGGCTTCACTGTCCGATCTCAGGCTTACCCCCTTGGTCCCGAAGCGTCACGTGAAGCGATGTCCGTTTCTGATGATAGCGACAGCTGATCACAGCTGGATCAGCTGTCAGTCGGCTCTTTATTTAGGTACTGTATGTCCTGCTCAGAGGCACAGGATTATTTCTACTGGCACAATGCTTATATTATCTGCATTTATATTTATTGATTCTGATTGTAAATTTGCTATTGAATATGTTGTGTCTGAGTATGATCATGGTGTCTTGGGATTTATTAGCCTAAATGTTTCAGGGAAATTGAAATGATGTAACGTGTATCAAAGTTAAAGCTCAGTTTTTGGCTTTCCGTTTATTTCCTCTTCTGATATCCTTTAACACTACTGCATACATTTTATTTGCAAGTCACCAATCGATCGCTACGTTCCGTCATATCAATCCAACGTTGTTGTTTTTTTGCGTAGCAGCGCTTTCATTCATACTTTCATCAGCTGATTTTACTAGTTTATTAGATACTTTGGTGCAGTTTAGTGACTTGTCCAACTCCTTCAGGTCTGTTCACACTGAAAGCGAATTTATTATTAATATATTCGCCTTGCTTTACTCGCGTGAGTTTGACCGCTGGACATTTTGAGTGTTCACACAATGCGTTTTAAGCGAATAAACACAGCCCAAGGATACTACTGCTATATGAAAACCAAGTAAACCCTTTGCTGTGATTTAATGGCAATGAACGGCTCAAACTGATGCCGAAACTACAATATGATGCCGTTTTGTTAGACATATGAATTCATGCTTTGTCAGGTCTGTCAGCAAGTCAACAACTTTTAAAATATTTTTTCTGAATGGAGTTCGTACCGAGCTGCGCTATGCTTTGCTTACCTGGTCACAGTAAAGTACAACGATAGCTGGAATAAAGTTACAGACACACATTTTCTGAACTCACTAGGTAGTTTACCTTCCTTGCTTTCTTTTCTCCAAGTAATGTCCAGTTTTGTCCAGTTTTTATATAAATATAAGGTGACCAGATTTCTCAAATTTTGGTGGTCAGTATGTCATCAAAAAATATAATGTGATTGTATATGAAATAAAAAAGGGGAACGATTTTATATATAACTCTGCAGTAAGTCCTGTTAATTAGGCTACATTCCATTTTCCAAATATAAGGATTTTAGACATAGGCCCACCAAACACATAATCCATCGGCAACAACAGGCTTCTGCCTATAATCACGTAAATGCCATACCTGGTTATGCTATAAATTGCAAACAATTAATTTGCCACAATTGTGATTATTCCGTTAAAAGAAACGTTAAAAGTATCACAAAGACAAATCTTTGCTGTTACCATGGACATAAAGTGATGTTTATTAGCACGTTATGTCTGTTTGATCCAGACGCAGCTGTAGACGTAAAGATACCGGCAGATACAGCTTTAACATGCTGCACGCGCTCCCGCGGACGGCAATCAATTTTTGGCAAACAATCACTTTTCAGCACAACACCTATATGCTCTGCTGTCCAGTCTTTCTGGCCACATAAAATCTGATTTCAAGTCTGTTAATACCTTATACAGTGTATGATTAACATACAGTTAAAAACGGAGACATTTCCGGGGACATTTTCATACAGGGACCAGCCACCAAAACCGGGGACTGTCCCTGGAAAACGGGGAAGTCTGGTCACCCTATATAAATATGTAGTCCAGCAGAACTCTGGTGCCATCCGACCCTAACAACAACAGTGGAACCGGATGTGCACGGTAGCTAGCTGCCGAGAAGCGCAAGTGAAAATAAATCAAGTTGTAAAAACTAAAGTAAAAAATTTATTTAATAAAAGCAGTTAACTCTGAGCTCCTCCTGTGGGTAAACAGCGTAGTTGTCAGAGCAGAATCCAGACCGACTAGGGGCGCAATATAAAAGCACAATGACGTTTTTTGCAACAATGCTTTTTTTAGAGTTGATTTGAGAGCTTTTAAATTCTGAAGGATATTAAAAAGAGTCTGTAGCCTGCTTGACACACCTCTGAAATAGCGGTCAGAAAACGTGATTACCCAAACTGTCCTGTGCCAGGAGATACTGGGGAACTAAAAATAAGCGACCATATGATGGATGTGATCAAACACCGGAACAGACACACTGCAGCACATGGTTTATTGTGAGCATTTGAAAAAGTGGCTTTATAATCAATTTGTTGAACAGGGATAAAAAAAAAATTCCATCCTACATGGGATCAAACACACAACCTTCCAGGTGAGAGTCCTGCACTTTACCAACTGAGCTAACCAAACACCACAAAATTGTGCTCAAATATTATGCCCACTATCTAATGGATAAAATAAATTGCTCTGATGCAAAACAAATTTGCCGACCCCTGCTGTATATTATTACTTCTTCTTCTTTGAACGTACACATTCAATGTAGTGATGAGCATCTACACTGCCAGAATTCTACAAGAAGAAGAACGTATTGACGAAGCGCGCTCTGTTGTCCGTTTTTAGCTACTGTAGAAACATGGCGGTGCAACATGGAGACGTCCATGGAAGGGGGTGCCCGCGGTTATGTAGATAGAAATGGCTCATTCTAAGGTAATAACATTTCATTATGTAAGGTCTTTATACACCACTGTAAACATAGTTATGGATCTTATATTGCATTTCTGTCACTAGATCCTCAGAAATATTAAACACTGAACCTTTAAATAGTTTCTCCTTTGGACACTTCCATGTTTGGTAAAGCAAAGGCCTGTGTATTAAGTATTTTTAAAAGCATTTCAGCTGATTTTAGCACACCTTCTGTAATTTTAACCAAGCTCCTTCCACCCAGTAATCACAGGAGACAAGTAGCTTTTTTTAATATTACAGGTGGCTAAATCTCATATCTTCCCCTAATGCTGATTAGCCTGAGACAAACCAACCGTTTATATTTATTCACTGTCAATATTATTATTTTTTTTAATTACGCCTTGTTTTACACACACCAGTTAGGTCAGCGAAATGGCATTTATGTTTTCCGACACCTTTCGCTCCATATAATGTCCCCTTAAGCATGTCCTAAGTCAATTTTCTAACATTAATTTTTGACCCTAAAGCTGACCTAACTCGTGTGTGTAAAACAAGGCGTGATAACATGTGACAGGAGGTTGTGCCTCTGAGCTGGATGAAAAGCAGGGTTAGCTGCTCTTAGCCGAGATGCTAGCTCATCAAACCCACGACAGACTTCCCAGCCAGCTGCTGGCTCGCATCCTCTTAGCATGATTCTCACGTCTCCTCCTGCCTTGGCAAGGAGGCAGCAGGGCTACCGGTGACTGGTGGCTGTCACACGACTGTATACTCGTCCCAGTCCTCCTCTGCACGACTCAGAGGCGAACATCAGCTGAGCTAATTAGCGAAGCTGCTTAAAGACCCTGCACAACGGAATTCATTTCGCTTTGGCGTTGCGCCTTGCCTACTAACTAGTTTTAATATAGCTACCAAATGCATGTGTCATTAATAAATGTATATTTCTGCGTTAAATCGAAACACAGACACTTAGCCCGTATGAAACATCTGTCAAAAGAACCGTGATAGAAATGATAATGAAAATCACCATCAATAGCGGCCAACATATCGGATCTGCAAAGGGACATGAATAATGCAGCTGATGTAGGCTCGGTAACGCTACATTGCTAAGAAAATATACCGTTCCCTCGCGTGAAGTTGGAAACATCCAGCACAGCAAGAATCGGAAGAATGGTGCCTTTGCTTTCAAAATAAAAGCGCCAATTTTAGTTTAAAACCCATTGCAGCACATGTATAGACACAGGTATAGCCCCTTAATTGTGAAAGTCTTTGCTGGGCTTTCTTTTTCCTAATGTCTCACTTGACGCTGATTAAAATATCTCGTTCCTCTGCCGTGTCTATCTAAGTTAGTAACTTCCAACACCGAATGTGACGGCCAGTATTCACATGTAACGTTGACGTTAAATATATACGTTACAAACTCCAAAGCAGAATGGCATATAGCGTCGTTTCAAAGCAAAGTCCACATCTGCCCGACCTGTCAAAAGGCAGGCAGCTAACGTTAGAGCAATGACAGTCAACGGAACCGGTTAGCTTAGCATACTGGCTAACGATAGCTAGCTCGGCAGCGAGGACAGCTCGTATCGTGACACCAACGTGCACAGGCAACCGACGGCAAAACGACACCGAGGTGCACAATTCCGAAGCATTTTATCACGTTTTACTAATCAGCCTACTTACCCGTTAGAATCCCTACTCGGGTCTGATGGTCGTGGTTGGTGAGCACCATACCGTCCGCCGCCATGTTTACAACCTCTGTCTGCACTGTGCCGGCACATACATAGAAACAGTGTGGTGTGCGGGCTGCTGCTGCACCTCTGGAGGACGACTCTGTATGTGTGTGAGCGCGCGTGTCCTTTGGGGTAAATGTCCTCCAACTCATAAGTGAAGATTTGGGGCAAACACACAAAAAAAACTAACAAACAAAACACTGGTAGCGAATGGAGTCAGGAAGCAGGACTAGTACTTTGTGAGACCCCAAAATAAGAGTTAGGTGACCCATGTGTAACGTTTAAATACATTACATTGGCCATAATGTGGCTGGTCAATCATCAGTCAGTGCTTCACTTTGTACCACATTTAGTCTATTATAGTCTTTTCCAGTTATCTTTAAGAGAACGTTTGGCACTTATGGAGATATAGTGAGACCACAGACATGTTCACGTCGCACACCAAAGCTGGCAAAGGTGCAACTGGCCGCAGACCCTCTAGACTTTGAGGACCATTGGTTTACTTTGTGCTCAGTAGTTTGTCGAGTTCGATTGCAGATTTGTCTGGTAATGTTTGTTTGGCATACTGCAGCACAGTATAAGCTAAAATGACCAACTACTAATTACTGAATTTTTCCGTTTATATGACACATATATCCTTTAATACATTTGTCTTTAATATAATCTCATAATGCCTTTTCATTCTGAAAGCCTTAAATAGTTTTTATTGTTCTGCCATTTAAACCCACCCCTCCAGGGGAGGAACAGTGATGGATGTGTGACAGATCACGAGGACCAGCTGTAAAATCAGCTTGCTGAGATGAACACACACCCTTTGACCTGTAATATCTGGATGAGAAGAGTTTTTGAAGGCCAAATTTATTTCTTTTTTTCTAATGCATGTCATTATATGATGTCTTCACTGTACATTAACTGAATCACAAACAGGTTAAGAATTGACATATGGGTCTGGTAATGATTGGTTTGGTACTTGTGTAATTTAAACAGTTTCATTACATTTGGATTTGGGACTTGGAACAGATGGTAGTGAATACTGCTTAAATGAAATATATTAATACTGGCATATTTGTTATGTATTTTAAGAGTTTCTTTTGCAATGTATCTATTTTGTGTGTGTGTGTGTGTGTTTATTTTATCTCTGGTTTGGTTTTCACTACTAAATAATTTTAAAATAAATAATTCTTTTAGTGACATTATTAATTGAAACTATGGGTCCTTGCAATATTTTATTTTAATTATTTTATTTTCTTCTTCTACGTTAAATTGTGATGGTAAAAGCCATATTTCAGCCAGACCAATAAATAATTTTAAATGTACAGAAAAATAGTTGAAAGCTCTTTCATCTTCAGGAGAAGTCCGAATTGCAAAACACTTTTTGTCTTGCAAATGTCTGCACAACAGACTCTAAGAGAGAGTTAAAACACAGTTTTATACCACTGAGAGATTTTGGAAGTGCAATAGCTACTCTACATATTACAGCACTTATAAAAATGGAACACATCACATGTAACATTCAGAGTTACAATAAGAGCTGAGAAAACGAACGACAAAACACTGAGACAAAGTAAACACAAGAAGTTGACTTATTACAAAATAGGCAGTTCTATGTAATGGTGGAATAGAGAAATTCAATATCATGAAATTATTAATTAAGAAAACACATCCCCTAATCGTAAATACAATGGGAATGTATAACTCTCTAAAGCAATATTTTGTCTTTAATGTTGAAGACCAAAGTCCTACATTTACTTCCTGTGTATTTACATAGAATGTAAGTTTTTTCTTAAAAGTTTGTTGTCACAAATCTCCCCAGCTCATAAACTTTACTTTAATTGGTCCCTGTTATTTTGATCTTGTTCACTTACTCTCTTGTAAATTCAGATTTCAGTTCCTCCTCCTGATCCTCACCTCACTCCCTTCACCTGGTTGTCCCCGCCTCGCTCCTCACCTGCCCTGCTGCTTATTAGTCTGTGCACTTGTACCAGCCTCTTGCAAAACTGGCCAGTCTTCAGCCTACCGTTTCAGTGTTCCCTAGTTAGTCTTGGCCTGCTTCACCTGTTTCCTGGACCTTCTTCTGCCTATTGGATTTTGATTTGTTTGCCTTTCTCTCAGACTGATAACCTGGTATTTTGATCCAGTCTGCTTAGTTATGAGTAAACTGAACTTTGCCTTGTATTACTGTCTCTGAGTTGTGCATCTGGGCTCATTCCTGTTAAGTTTCATCTGAAACTTGTATTCGTTTCTGCAATCAATAAACTTGGTAAAGGCTTGTGTGTCTTCATTGCACTACTGTTGCATACTCTTATATTTGTGGTATTTTATGCATATTTTATGTTTGTTATATGTGGAACCCAGGAAGAATAGCTGTTGCATTATTAACTAATGGGAATCTGAATAAACAAAATAATTTGCTTTACATTGGATATTGTTCGCAAGTCACAGAGCAATCAAAGAAAAAATACCAATTCAGATTGCTCCATCTTCCATTACACTAGAAAGAAATTAGAGATAAAACATAGAAAATCTGCAAACAGTCAGAATGATCAAACCCACAGAGGAATCATGTAATGGCCAAAACGTAAAAAAAATTAAAATAAAATAAAACACACGAAGGCATCGCTGATCCAAAAGCCCAGAATTTCCATATGCCTTCAGAGTCTAGTATTTTTTTGTATTTTGAGACAGAGTAAAGACTTGCCATTCAAATATCCATTGAGCACTACTAACTCATCTTGCGAGGATAATGTTTGTATGATAAGTTGTTACCTCTCAAAGAGCCAGTCTAGTCCCCAGCAGAACTTCAGTGTCATAAGCTTGATGGCTGTAGGAGGCAGTAGTGTTCAACATTTTGGTTCAATTAGGTTGGACAACCATCACCTCTGCCTGCTACAGTCTTCTTCTGGGCCTGTGAAGTCTCAATCCTGTGAGCCTGCTTTGGTGTAACAGGTAATGTATACACTGTCAAAATAGATCTTATTTTTGGCATTTAAATTATTTTTCCCCATTTTTTTAAATCATGTGAAACCAACATACTTAGTTGATTTAAGTCTTTTATTTGTTTAAAATGTGATGTTTGTGAGTCATCACCTCATCAGCTGTCTGACATTTGTTTAATGAAGGTAATAAAATGACACCATAGTTGAGATTAAATTGCTGGATTGCTTCACATCATAAAGTGACATCGTAAAATTGTTTATATTGTTAAGCCAGCAGTCCAAAACTAAATGATGTTTAATTTGCAATGATACAAAACAGAGTAAAGCAGGAATACCTCACACTGAGGACTGAAAACGAGAAATGGAACAGAAATATTTAAAATACAACTGTGATGGCAGAAAATTGTTTTTCTCTTATAATCTTTTAGGCAAGTACTTATAATAGCACTATTTTTTTTATCATTATTATGTCTTATATATTGTTTTTAATCTTTAACCTTTTCCGTGTATTATTATCCTTATTATTCTAGTCTGTCCACATGTGTAGGGTTGGGTCAGAGATATGAAGTTGTTTTATTGTTTTCCTTACTAGCTGTTCCTCTCCCAGCCTTGACTGGTCCCAGAGGATCTTTGTTCTCCAAAACATAGAAACTCAGACTGTGTAAATGATCATGCAGCCCTTTGCTCTGGGCCAGACGTTATGACTGTCCTAGGAGACAGAACCTCTGGTCCAGCTGATTTGTGTTATAGTACTTCTCTGTTTATTCTCTTTTATTAGTAAATTCTTCAAAGACAACGATTTGTTGTAACTCAATTATTTGCTCAATCCCTCCCGAGGTATACTACGATTCCCCACGACAGCAACAAATGTTATGATATGTTGTGGATGCCATTTCTGCAAAGGATAAAAGAACGAGTGATTACTCAACTGAAAATAGCCATCAAAAGTGGCATTAAATCAACAGAGATTAGTAATATTAAACTAATTTCAGTTAGATGGAGACACATTTCTAAAATTATTAAAAACATTTTACAAATCAAGTACATGTGTAGTCACTTTAACATTTTGTACTTTCACTGTATTAGAAAAAGTTACAAGGGGTGGTTTATTTATGTTTCTATTTTTCTCATGCGTACATTTCACTACAGATTTCTGTTAGATAAACAGGAATAACAGTGAACATTCAGAAGAAAGAGTAACAATGGTAAAGCCACAGCCATACAATTCTACAACAAGCTATGTTCCATGCAGCACTAAAGAATGTCCTGCTCTTCTGTGAGAATGCCCCATCTTTGCTGTGGTTGTGGCACCCACTATTATATGCTATCAGTAAGGGGTGATTAGTTTACACACAGCCATGTCATATGACATTAAACACGTGGTTAGCATTGTTATACGGTTTGGTTAGGCTTAGGCAAACATTGTGGTTTGGATTTAAATAAGTAAGTTACTTAAGTCACATGATATAAATTACATGACGCAAGTCAGTAACGCTATACACTCACTGGCCACTTTATTAGGTGCACCTGTTCAATCACTCAGTTCATTTAGGCATGTAGACATCGACAATGTTGAAGAAATACTGTGAGCAAGGTTCAGGTGGGAAGTAGTTTTGGAGACTGATGAAAACTTAACATAGCATGGTTAACTGAGCCCAGCTGAGGAGATACAGTGGCAGCATACAACATTTTATGTATCTGTCTTCCCCCTAGAGCCTGTAGGTTTCCCTATTAGGTCATCTTTAGCTGGCCTTAACCTAGAACAACAAATCTATCTGATATTTAGACTCTAGTGCTTCGTCATATTGGAATCTATCACTGCCCATGAGTTGTACTCTAATCTGTCGAGCCAGTCAGTTCTTGTAAATATTCTTGTAAGACTCAACCTTAAGATTCCCAGAGAACACTGATATCTGCTAGCCTGATGCCTGGGCTACTGTCTCTACCTTATCAGTTAAACTGTCATCTCCCTAATAAGGAGAAATAACTAGAGCTGAAAGGTCAGTGAACACTTGTAGGGTCAGCTAATGGCTTTAAGATGGACCTGTCTTATCTTCCCCTGTAACATCAATTAAGCCCCCTAAAAAACAAAGTTCAAAGCGAGCATCAGAATGTGGAAGAAAGGGGATTTAAGTGACTTTGAACGTTGCATGGTTGTTGGTGCCAGACGGGCTGGTCTGAGTATTTCAGAAACTGCTGATCCACTGGGATTTTCACGCACAGCCATCTCTGGGGTTTACAGATACATGCACACAACGGCACAGACAAACCACTAGCCTCTGAAGTTTAGAGAAAAGAGAAAAAACAAGGGTGGATAAATTATGTAATGTGCATACCAACTAAACATAAGGTATATTTCCATCACATTTGTTTAATAAATTTGAACAATATAATGGTGCTATCTTCAACACTTTATTGTTCTGGATTACTTATCTAAAGTGTTATTGTCCGATTTCAGTAAGTGGTGGCGGTGTTTGTGTGTTTTGTTGTAGATATGTAATGTCCTAGTCAAACTGTATTTTGTAGTAAAATTACTACAAAAGTACCTGGGAACCATGGAAGTCTCTGACACAACACAGTCCTGCAAATGTTTCACAATGAAAGCCCTGTTGGGAAATACAGGGATTTTGTGCACTTAATTTGAAATAAATACAGAAAGTATTGAGTCTGTATTAACAGCATTTTGTAGTAACAGAAATTTAATGGGTAAATGAATAAATCAATGAAAAATAAATAAAGTTTAGTTTTTGCATGTAGCCTGTAAAATTCCCTTATGACTATTTCAAAGAGGCCAAAAATGTTCTGTTTTGTCAATCTCCCCGTTTTGTATCACATGCAGTACATTATGTTTTTAGAAAAAATGGTGATGCAAAAACCTATAACAATGTTAGACCTTTATCACAGGATATCTTCTGTGCTTCACTGTATTTAAAACATTCTATACCTGAGGTGCCAACATACACCTATCTTTAGCCCATTAAAGCTGTGGAGATGGGGGTTTCTGGACTGTGACTGATTTAAAACACTAATGTAGAATTAAAAATGAAGTATTGCTGAAATGAAAAACACAAACATAAGATGTTTTGTTGGTTGTTCACTGTACAAAAATCTGTAGTGTGTCCTCTACCCATGGTGAATTAACTCCAGAAAAACCTGAACATCAGCTTGACCCCTCAAACGCAGCAGGAATGTGACATTAAAACCTAAGCCCTAGAGGTCACAACCACAGTGCAGTATTGGGTTGTCGAGTAAACTGAGCACCTCTTTCAATTTGTTATCAGCACACACCCACAGCATGGTGGGTGTGTTTTTTTCTATGCCACTGCTGTAATTAAAATTTGCATCTGCTGTGTCAGAATGAAATGCCAAACATAACCTGTTCTAAAATACATTTAGATATATGTTTTTGCAAGTACATTGATTTTCATTGTGACTGCGGCCACAACTGCTCCGTATTTTCAGAGGATTCAACTGATTACAGATTTGATTTTTTTTATTTAGGACCAAGTGAAAAGCTATGCATTTAAAATGGGACACAAAAAAGATAAATATTTTGAATGCCATTCATGTGACAGCAAATGAATAGCAAGGAAGATACGCTGCGCATTACTTCTCTGTATGCAGACTGTCATAAAAAGAAAGCATATGACATTTGAAGTCTGTTGAAACCTGTAACTTAGAGTGCAGATCATTTCACAGTTAACACACATTATTAATAAGTATAAAATCCTGTATGCTTTGACACTCCAAAGCAGACTGGAACAGATGCATCATTCATGCTAAATATATAAAATACAGACTGTCATCAAGAGGTCAGCACACTGTTGCTCTGTGAAATGTCTGATGCCTATAAACAACCAATTGTGAAGTTAAAATTACAAAACATAAATATTGCCTGACACAGTGCTTTATCTGAAATTAATTGCAGTTAATGCCTCTTTAGCCTTGGCACGATCTTTGCAGCCACCTCTCTGGTCAGGCGCCAGGTTGTTGAATAGCATATGAGTCACTCTCACTGTCCGCACTGCTAGCAGCTTGCTTACAGCCACTGTTGAGAGCGAATGTCCATCTACAGTATATTGTCAAACTACAAATACGTTATAATAATAGCTATTATTTAAACCATTTATATGGTGACAGACTGCTTCAAAAGGATTTTACCAGAGCAAGGAGCAGGTCCAATGCTGGTCTTCAAAACTCTGAAAGTGGGGATAAAAATCCGACAGAGGTGTGGAAGAG